CTAGTGTCAGACTGGTCACTACACTAGAATTCAAACTGTTGCTATTGCTCTGGAACAATTTAATGACAGTGGCATAGCGATTTGGGACACACTACAAGTAATTTTAAAAGTACATTTATATGGCAAATGCCTAAAAAAACTCTTGAACACTTATTCCTGGTATGCCCACAAAATATGTTTTGCATGTTAACCTAGTAATTAGAATAATAAAATTAAAAAAAAAGAACATGTAAATTTAGCTTTTGGGTTCATAGAATCTACATATATTTTTGCTTTATTGGATAATGCCTAATTAATTTTCACTTGACAAGTATGAAATAGAGAAATTGCACATGGTTTGTAGAAGATGGTTATTTTGATACTAAAACATATATTTTAAAAAAATCAGAACAATTGCTCTGTAAGAGAACAGAAAAGGTCCAGATCTTTAACTCTTTTTTCCTGTTTGGAAAGCACTACTCCCAAAATGCAGTGCAGGTACAATTTTCAGGTGGTTTTTTTGTCCTGTTTTGATTAAACTCTGATAAATGCTCTCTATTTGAGAAGCAATGGATATAGCATAAATTCTGTCCTAGCATTTCTGTATTCAATAAACATTTCCTAAGAGTAATTTATAGTTTCTCTTTCTCCTACATGAGGTAAAAGGGTCACTTTTTGAAGAACAAGAAAACTGGCTTCACTGACAATCAGCACAAATTTTGTTGTCTCCTAGTAACTTAAAGAGAGGAAGGAAATCAGAGGTTACTGCATATTGCACCTTATAATCCCTGTAAGAAATCACATCAGTATTTACTGGCAAAGAAGAGTAGGTGGAGATGGAGATACTAAGTACATTGATGTAAAAAAAAGAGATGGAAACAAAGTCTGTAAAACAGTAGGCAAAACAGTTGCTCTGAAAAGGAAATATCTTCTTAAATATTATAATAGCACCTTGAAAATCCATTCTGGAATTGGCCCATGGTTTCTCCTGATACTGTCGAGTGGTAGGTCAGGTCACCGAGACAAAGAAATTACAGTCTAAATGATGGAGTCAGACAAGGCACACATTTGGTTCAGCAGCATTTCTGTCAGTTATGGAAATATTACAAATAGAAAATGTTATCCATAAATAAGCACTTTCTGCTACAATTCTCTGCTGTCCTTCATATGCCTCATAACAATTTTATGTAGGTATGTAGTGCTGGTACTTTGGAGACCACCCAAAGACCCACAGGACTGCCGAGTACCATTCTTGCCAGTGTAAAAGTCAGCACCCTTTACAAATGTAAAAAAACACAGCTATGACACACTCCCTTTTAATGACTCTGTGTATGGGTGTATAACTATGAAACCAGGTCTAAACTCACAGACTTTCCTTCTTTTCCTATTTGATGCTGCATAATAGTGTGAGAATAAAGTTAAAACGTGTCCCTTTTCATGTTTGCTTGTTTTACATTGTGATCTAGTTGTCATAAACCCTGCCATCTGACCAAATTAGTGAAAGAATAGAAAAGAACAGGCTCCAACATCTGGCAAGACGTTAACTTGGACTTTCTTCTTGATTGTGTCTGTTTCAAATGCCAGGTGTCTATCACCTGGGATATAGTTTTACTTTGGCAAAGTAAATCTATTACTAACTCTCTGAAGAATGCCGTCTCTGAATGATGCTGCAGCTAATGGAATACTGATTTACTGCCACAACTGTAAAGGATATTTTTTTAACATTGTGTTACACTTCCCATCAATTTAGATCAACCAGACCTACCATATGTGAGAAGTTATCTACATTTTTCTCCAATAAAACTGAAATGATGAAAGCTTTGCTTTCCCTGAGGTATGATCCAGTATTGGTAGCCCCATTGTTATTTTTTTTAGCCCTCATCTTTGTCAGGGCTGGAGCATATTATTCCTGCAATGCTTGCCAGAATTCTATGGCTTACTTGTTGTTTGAGACTCACCATATGTGTCTTTGATCCCTGCCTAGTAGGCACTTTGGCTGCTTGCCAGTTTGGCACTTATGATTATCATCAGTATGAATAGCTCCCTTGCTTCTGATTCTGTCCTTCTTGCTGTCATCAAATCACTCTTTAAACAACTTTCTTATTTTCTTTTAGATGCTTATAAACGATCAATCTATTTTTACCATGCCTTTCTTGGCCAAGGTTTTGTGTCACACTGCAGGAAATCCAGCAGCTTTATGTTTCCACTCCTAATGATCTGACTGCCAACTACCTGTGTAACTGCATGGGAACAATAAGGAGTACAGAAACACCTCTTGTGATAGTGCTGGAAGCTGCTCTGCATATTACACAAATAGGCCTGTTCTCCCCATCTGGTTGGTTTGGTGGCATGACTTCTATGAGAGATTATTTATTTTAGTGAAAAGCATTCCTTTTTAATAAACGTTTTAAAACCTTTGACCAGAATAGTGTGAGCCAATGACAATGATAAATTCAGAGGAGTATCAGAATGATAAACAGTTTTAAGAGACAGATGGAAAGCCAAAGGCCAGTTGTGAGCAATTTCTACTCACTATCCTGATACAGCACTAAACATGAGCCCTTCCATGTGTTCTAGTAAACTGAAGTTGTTCCAAAATACCATTGTTGAACAAAAAATATGCAGAATCAAAATAAAGAACAGGACAGGGCACATAAAAGTCCAGACCCTGAGAGGCCCACATGCTGTTACAGAAAGATCTGCCAGAAGTGTCCATCATTCTTTACATGACCCTGCAAACCCTTCATATAAATAGATGGTAAATAAATTGGTAAATATACTGGTACTATCACAGAACAAGGGTATCTGCCTTAACGTTGACTCATAAAGTGGGGTGGAGTAAGTTTTGTAGCCTCTGCAAGCAAAGAAGAGTATCAAGATGACTGTGTGTGCCTAAAATACAATCCTCTTGGAACTTTCATTCTGTGCTGTCCAACGTGACGTTTAGCAATAACAATCCATTGTAGCTCTCAAGGTTTTAAAACACAGGGCCTTTTGCAACAGAAAAATTATCACACCCTTCTCGTGCACATTTCAGATGAATGTGTTTATTTATATGTCTCCTGTTTTTGAAACAACTCCTTGCATTTATAAGGACCAGTTGAAAAATTCAGTGCAAAATTGTCAAGGGTGAAAAACATACTCTGATTGCAGGGAGAATGAGAGGCAGAACAGAAAAGAAACTGCTGCATGAGAACAAAATTAAGATTACTTTAAAATGCATCTGTTATATTTTCCTTCTGCCCAACAACACCAGGATTTCAGATAAAGATGGTCTTTTTCAGCACATGTGGTGGCACTCTGAGTCTTGACTTTCAGTCAAACCTGAGTCCAGGTTTGTGACACTGGATATAGGCTAGAAGAGCCCACAGAGGTTTTAAGCCCTACGAAAACAAAACAGTGACAGACATAAAAACAATACAATTAGAAGGGATTTAATGTGGAGAAAATAGCAGTTTGATATATAAGCTACCTTCAGAGCATTACAATGTAGATAATTTCTGAGGTACTTGTAAGAAAGATCATTAAAGGCCATATGAAATTTGGCTTTGGGACTGGAGTAACTCAAGAACAGGCAAGTTAGGTAGGAGTGATACACTTTATTCACAGACATACTCTTAACTTTCTTGTGATTGCAGTTTTTATCCTTTTTCCAGCTGGCTATGAAATGTAGAGAAAAGTGAAAATGAAATTATTAACCTTAATAATGTGCCTTTCCCTTCACATATACCCCATTACTGATAAACTTTCTCTCACTGTGAGTCAAAAAAGAAAGTTGACTTTTTTGGCCAGTTTCTCTCTATTTTATCCCTAACTATACAGGTAACAAGACGAAAGCAAGTACCTAGAACCAGCATTTAAGGGAAGCTTAGTGGAATTTTGAACTGTGAAAATAAAAGAATGACGAATTCACAAATATTTTACTGGAAAAAGGCAGAAAAGATACTAACTGCATCAGATAGCATTCAGTATAAAATTTCCTGGCACTTTTCAGTGGCCAGATTTGAAATTGCAGAGATGACCATCAGTAATATTTTTAAATTTTTATATTTTATTTCAAATATCTTATTTCTGAAAAGCCACGATTATTCTTGAAAACAAAATCTTTCCAGGCAATCAATCAGCATCCAGTTTTCGTTTACAACGGCTATGGAAATACAATTTTTAGACGCAAAGAACAACAAGGATGAAATGCAAAACTGCTAAAGATGGGGCTTTGAGAGCATCATGTCTAGCTGTGAACAACTGAAAGAGAGACTTGGTGGTAAACTTGATAATTTTTGCAGAAAATGATGGACGGAAAGGTTAATAAATTTAACAAAATATCTCTGATACCCCAGAAGAGGAATGATTCATAAACAATTTTTGCTTGAGAGGAGTTTGGAAAGTTGTCTGACACAATGAATATAAGGGAGCAGACGAAATAGAACTTGCTGCTGCGGAGAGATCTGTTGAAACCTGCACAGTATTCCATTTGCTATACTCTTAAGTTTTTGCTACATAAATGGAAGCAGAAATGCCTCCTGTCACCTGGACGCCCGAGCGAGCACGACCTGGTTTATCTGCATCGTTTGCACAGCCCCGGGGATGCCGAGCAGGACACGAAGGCTTGGTCTGGCAGCAGCCCTGTCCCTTCCCCTTGCTCCTCTCTCTCCCTCCTGCTGCCTAAAGCCTTGCCAGGTCAGGCTGGGCCCGGTGTCCCGCGGGCTTGCAGGGCACCAGGGAGGATGAGGGGCAGGATGTCCCGCTGTAGCCACGCTCTGCCCTCGGGCTATCCTCAGCGGTTTGTCCTGCATACGCGGCCCGCGATTGCGGAGCCAGCCGAGCCCGCAGCGAGCGCGGCCACCCCCTGCCGCGGCTCCTCCACCGGGAAGGCGAGAAGGGGCAGCAAGCGATGGGGGCAGGAGGCGAAGGAGACGCACAAGGCGAGCCCCGGGGCCGGCGGGCCTGAGGCGGCGGCCGCCGCAGCCGCGCGGGAGGGGACGCGGCGGCGCTCGCGCTCCGCCAATCGCGGGGCCGCTGGCGCGCGGGCCGGGAGGCTGCGCCCTCCCTGCGGCGGCGGCTGCCGGGCGAGCCATGGGCACGGTGCCGTCCGCGCTGAAGCACTGCCTCAGCTACCAGCACCTCCTCAAGGAGCAGCTGTGGATCGCGGAGCCGCCCGCGGCCGCGCACCCCGCGCAGGTACCGCCCGGCGCGGGTCGAGGGATGGGACGGAGCCGGCCCTAGGGGGAGGACGAGGCGCCGCCGCCCCCCGCCCCTCAGGCACGTCCCCCGCGCCGCTGCTGCCGCCGCCCGTGCTGCCCGTGCCCGCCGGCAGCGCCCGGCTCGCTCCCCTCTCCCGTCCTGCTCGGAGCGGCGGCGGAGGGAGGGATGCCCTCGCCCACCGCCCCGCTGGGCTGTGCCTGGTCAGTGTTTGAGCACACGGCCGGTGTTATTCCACCGTGTTCAGGCGCTGCGAACACAGGTGGGTGGTGCTGGGGCAGCGCTGAAGCAGTGGTAAACCCACCCAGCAGTGGTCCCCGCCACGCGTGATCATTCGCTGTGTGAAAATCATAAAATGGCAGGGTGACACGCATTTAAGCGGGCCCACGGCACCGGCCTTGCAGCTTGTGCGGTTCCCTGGAGCGCGGCGGGCGCGTTTGTACCGAGGGAAGAGTCAGTGCAGCCGTGGGGTGCGGGGCAGAGCCGGGGGCTGTCACGGAGCGGTGAGTGGAGGTGCCTGCTCACCCTCCTGGCTCTGAGCTCTGAGCAGGTGGGGACAGTGGCTGGGGCAGTGTAGGCTAGAGAGGTGCCCAGGCAGGCTGCCGAATCCACACCGTGGGCCGTGAGTGTCCTGAACATGACTGTAGAAATGAAGGAATGTTGCCAGCATATCTTCTCTGAACAGTCACTCAGTCCAATTCCAGCTCCAGTAATCAGTCAGTACTTCAAACCTTTAGAAAAATAAGGCAAGCCTATAACAAAAGAGTTTAAACTATACTTAAATATATTTTTAATTTTCTTTTTTAAAGAGCACCTCTTGTTGCATCTTTCTTCTGTTTTCAGATAGGGGATGGGATTATCTTCCATTTTTCTCCACTCTTTGGAAGTGAAATTTAAGGACGAGGAAGCAATGTGACTTCAGAGGTGGAGAGATGATTAAAAATATTCTGAGTGGTATGAAAACTGGTAGCATTTTAGTTTTGCTTCAAATGGTCTGAGCCTCATATCTCAAAAGTTGCTTATATGGAATACCCAAAGCAACATTGCTGTGAGCGTAGGGCTTTATATAGGTAAGCCCCATACAGCTTCTGACTATCATATTTCACTGGGAATAGTGTCTATGCAGCATTAAATTTTGGGGAAATAATAAACTTTTTTCTTTCTTTTTTTTTTTTTTTTTTTTTTTTTTTTTTTTTTTTTTTTTTGTGAAAAAAAAGGGTTTTTTTATGGTAAAGAAATAAAATAGAATTAATGGGCTTTTATGCATTAGGCCTGAAGCAAAGCATTATAATTCTGTTCCTGTGTCCTTGCTACATTTTGCTGCATCATTTCCTTTCAAAAGACCTGAACATATTTTAAAAGTTTATTTCAAAATATCTTGATTTGCTACTTAATTGTGTCAGTCTCCTCCTATCAGATGAAGCATTTGAAAAGGCTTTTGCAACAGAGTGTGTTTGCAGCTAAAAACAATCATTAACATCTTCTAAGAAAGTAGTAGATTAAAAAAAAAAAGGCTTTCTTTATTGTAATGGATCATTTTACTTAATTTTTGCAGTGCTCTTCTTTCATTTTCGTCACCATTATTCTTCCTCCAAGGATACAGGAAGATGTCATCATCAGTAATCTGCAAACATGAGAATCAACAGCAAACATCTTCCCTGTGCACACTGATGTGGGTGTGAGCTGCACAGTGCACTGATTAAATCCAGAGTTGGTCATTGTTCATGTTTCAACATTTACTTCTGCATTACCTTGCTGTGATTTTACATGAATCTGTTCAAATTTCCATTTTTCTCACGTGGATTCTTAAGCAACACACAAAGGTTTTCCTTATGTAGGAGTGCATTCCATATCAATCCTGCTCAAGAAAAAAGTGTTTCTTGTTACATGATCTAGAAACTATACTGGCTCAAGAAATGGTTGTAAAAAGGTTTGTTGGTCTTTTTTTTTTTATGACCAGTGTATATAAGATAGTTATGGCAGCACTGCTGTAATGATATTTATGAGGGTACGTTAAGAAATAAAATAGGAAAGGGGGTTTAGGTGCAAGAACAGTTTCCCAGAAATAATGCCTTCATGGTTGATAAAAATAAAGAGTTTATTTACTTGCTGAAATATTTTCAGGAGTTCCTCAGGATTTTTCTTTAACCACCAAGTAAAATCTAAATACTGCTGCCAAGGCTCTTGTAAAAATAAATATTTTGTCTAAAAACCCCCAATATATAAAAATCTGGTTATATACTGTACTGATTAATTTGTGGTCCTGTCCAGGTTTAACCACTTGAAGCTCTTCTGAAGGTGAAATAATGGGTTCTAAAGTGAGTTGTAGGATGTCTTAGTCTTTGTTTTCCCTTATTTTTTCTTTTTCATTTAGCCAACCATTTCTCTGGTATTTTTAGAACAATATTTGGCTTTAAGAGGTAGACTTGCTTGACTAGTAAAGTTATTAAAAAAGGGAGGTGAAAATAGGTAATTTGGCTAGGTGGCTAAATAGACAGCAAATAGATTTTTCTACTACCTGTTTGTAGAAGTTACTAATACCTATTTCAGTCTTATTTAGACTAATCTATTTCATAAAAAAATTTCTGAGCACCTGACTAGTCAGTGAGACACCACATTCCTGTTGCAGTGTGTTCATCATTCTCCATATTGTTAATTTCTTAACAGTTTGCTTCAGAATGCTTCCGTAATGCTTCATACAAGAAATACAATTCAGCTTCATGTTCTTAGCATTACCCCAATGTATATGGTTTTATTAACAGATCTGATTAACTTAATATTAAAGGTCTGGTTTATTTTTTATTAAACAAGAGATATAGTCACACGAGAATTTGTTAAAGACGTGGATTTATGTCAGAACTGTAAAATGTGCTGGCATCTATGGAGAAAAGAGGTGGCTGTAGATGTTGCAGTATTGGGGTGATTTCTGCAGTGATCAAGGTTGTTACTGATGGTGACTTACAGATTTGACCAGAGTATGTAATGTACTGTGTGGTGTGTTTTGTGAAATGCTCAGGCTGAGCTGTGGAGAAGGTGTTTATCTGCTGCTGCTGTCCTCTGGTTTAGCAGGAACCTTATTGCTGGACAAGAGATGGTCTGAGAGTAACTAACATTGGTCTTATCCTACAGACTTAACGTTATATTTTCGTGTAGGCTACAATGAAATTTTGATGCACTACGGATATTCTAAGGATGTAGCAGAGAAGAGCTGGATGGCTAAAGAAGTGTGAAAGACTGGGATGAAATTCAAGGATACAGAATGATTAGGTGCTTTGAGACCTATAACCCAAACAAGAAACTGACTTGTTAGAAGAGATTGAAGAAGAGCTTTGCAATCCTCACAAATCCTCGAATGACTATGAGCTGCCAATATAGCTGTTAAAAAAAACTCAGGTTGAGTCCTCAGATAGGGGAGATAAAGTATTTTCAGTCAAACAGGGAGATGTAGATGCCATTGCAAAGAAACTGTATCTGTTCAGTTTTGGTTAGTCATGTTCAAGAAATTGAATTCCACCTGAGATAAGTGAGGTCTTGCACCACTGGGATGATTGGGAAAAAGGAGATGAAATGTAAAATAACTTGGATTTGTTTGATATCTAGTGTTAAGACCTGGAGGATGAGTAGGCAGGGTGGGAAGAAGAGGAATTAGTTGCTTAGAATAAAGGAAGATGTTTCTACCCACAAACACAAACTTATATTCAGTCCATATAATAAAGTAGAAATTTAAAAGCAAATCATCCATTGGTGGAATTGTCTGTGAGCTTTGTAATCACAGTAATGAGGATATGATTTAGGCTTACTAAAATAATTATATGATGTGGTTTCCATAGTAGCGAAAATTATTTTATTTTTAAGAACTTCAAAAATTATATAATAAGGAATAGAGGACTAGACATTTAAATGTTTTAAAAAAGAGACAATTCCATGTCCAGTTTTTAAATTACGTTGCATGGCTTATAATACTTAAGGTCAGAGTATCAACTTTAGCATGAGTTCATCTGCTGCTTTAAACTGGGGAATCCTACATTGAAGGAGGCTAGTGGTTAAGCATAGCTAAATTATAAGCATCTTTTTCTTAAATGCTTATGTTTATGTACTACTAGCTAGGTGTATTAAGGGGTATAGTAAAATAAGAATATATTAAAACTCATATGGTTTGGTGAGAGCTACCTACACTTACAGCAAATATAGCAAAAATAAGACAAAGATAAGACTCTAGTGTCTTATTCTGCTGGATGTAGCTGTGACTCTAGGAAGTGTAATGTCTAAATAATGCTAATGTGTGCCATGTTAAGTTGTAGGATTTCTGTCGCTGACTTTGGTGGTCATATGGGAAGCAATATCCAGAATCATTAGCAGCTGTTCAGGATATTACCGTTGGAAAGTTTTGTAACTGGAGAGGAACAGAAATTCTAGGTGCTAAATATGTAAAATAATGAACAAAAACGTGTGTCCTCTAATTTAGACAGCTAACTCTCTTTCAGAGCCTTGATTGCAATGATTTATATGCTACGTGCCTAAATATCCAAACTGAAAATGCACAGACTAAGATTCCCTCATCTCCTCACTGCATGACACTCTTGGATCAAGAGATGCATACAAGTGTCTTACTTTTGCAGTTTATTATGTATTATTTATAATTATTTATTATTTATTAGTTTAGATTTTGTAACAGATTGATGTGTTTTAAACATATGCTAGAAACCTCTCAAATTTATTTTTAAAGTAACTCAAGAATAACAACAGAACCCACAGTCCATGTGACAGTTATATATGTCTTACTTATGTTTGACTCTTGATTCAAATTACAACATAAAAAATGAGGTGTATATTATTATGCAACCTGGGAGGAGACAGCAGATCTCTTTTATTTGAGTCTTTTAGGTACACCTCAGAGCAACTGATGTGAGAAATACACACTGTATTTCACGTTCTTTTTATGTCTGTGTAATTATATATTCCGGGAATAAATTTACATT